GGGGTCATTTCTTTTCTTTCCTATTTTCTTAATCCTCATTGCTATGGATATATTCATTTAAACTAATATAAGAACTGAAATCTTATAGTAAGATAACAAATAATTTTAATAACTTGGAAATTACTGTTCTTTCCTACAAAAATAAAATAGAATACTGGGCTCCTAATGGTTAAGAAGACCCATGCAATGTAGGGTAGAGGGGGTGTGCTTAGTGGTAGAGCAGTTGCCTAGTATGTGCAAGACCCTGGGTTGATCACCAGCACTGAAAGAGAGAGAGAGAGAGAGAGAGAGAGAGAGAGAGAGAGAGAGAGAGAACACCACATAGGATATCTAGCCCAACTTTCCAATGATGGAGAAAAGTGTAATAGGGAGTCCCTTAAGTTTTGTCTTCTAACTGTGGCTTAAACATTTGTAGTGAAAAGGTGCTTAGTGTTTTGTGGATTTAGCCTGTTCTGTTGTTGTGATAGCAAAGTACCAGGACTATAGAAGTACTCAAATATTATTCCAGGTTCTTCCCTGGAAACACAATAACATCTTTAGCATGGCTGGATATACTCCTAGATAATTAATAGCCCTGCAGCCATTCAAATGTAGCTGCCATAGCTAACTTCCTCTCCCTCCCCCCCCCCCGCCAAAGCCTTTTTATTTCAAGCTAAAAAGCTCATAGTCCTTTATTTGATGTTTTCCATAATCTTTACTATCCAGATTCCTGTATATTGAATGAATTTTAGCTCATCAACATCCTCTTTAAAATGTGATAAAAAAATAACAAAAATGTGAAATATAAAATATTCCAATCAACTCATTATTTTTGCCTCTATATTGAATTAAAATCAGGAAGACTAGGTAGTCACTCATTCAACTAAATGTTTATTGCACAAATTCTCTTAGCACCAGAAAGTGTTCTGCTGGCTCTGCCTCTCCACATCCCTGTATCTCTAATTATCAAATATATCCAAGAAAGTCAGCTCTCTATTTCTTGAAATGGTGACATGGATTTCATTTAAATTATTAGGGTCACTGTCAGCTAATACTGGGCAGGTTACCCATTTCTTTTGTTCTTTCTTTTTCTTTCCTTTTCCTTTTCTTTTTCTTTTCTTTTCTTTTTTTTTTTTTTTTTTTTTATTTCCTTGTAGTACTGGGGGATTGAACCCAGGGGCACTCTACTACTGAGCTACATGCCTGCTCTTTTTATTTCTTATTTTGAAACAGGGTCTCACTGGGTTGCTCAGGATGGCCTTGAACTTGCAATCCCTCTGCTTCAGCCTCCCAAGTCATTGAGATTACTGGCATGTGCCACCATGCTGAACTCCATTTCTTATGTTCTTATGTGTGCAGGAATATTAGCAAGAATCTCTTTCTGAGAATCTATGAAATGCAGTCTATCAGAAGCAAAGCATTAGTGACAAATATGGGGGAAAAAATACTATATTTGGGATTCAATGTGGGATGACTTGCCTATCTTAGCTATTTGAAGATGCATTTGACACTCCAAAATCAAATTTATGTGTCTTCCTGTAATATATCGTAATRAACATAGTTTTGTCAGATCTTCACCATGAAGTGAAACTGAGTTGAGGCAAGAGCCTGGGTAATTCAGACAAAATACCTTTTCAGCCTATGGAGGCTTTGATCAGCATTGAAGGCCAAAAACAAAAAGTGCTGTCATGTTACATTAAATTGAGACTAAATTGTATCTATCCTCTACCATCATCACTAACCCCTTATATTAAAAAAGAAGGGGARATGGGACTGAGAGAAGTTTGCTATTGGATTATTTGTCACCAATCTCAGGGGCTTTTTGTTTTTGTTTTTCCTTCATGAGAGAACCATGCCTTGGTTAGCAAGGCCAGTGTTGCAATTTGTACTCTTCCCTTCCCATTCATTCCAGCCAGGAACAGCCATCCACAAAGAGACCAGGATGAGGGGACCAACCATCTTCCCATTCTTAGTTCTCAAGAATCAAACCTGGGCTCCAGGACTCATTCTGCCTCCAATCAGGCAGAGCTGTGTTTATGCTAACAGTGTTTCCCATTTGCCTGCTTTTTTTTTTTCAAAACAAAAGGTTATGAAATACATTTATGTGATAACCATTATTATCCAAAGTTCAGGTATGAAGACATGAATTGGTGTGAATATACTGTGTATACAACCAGAGATATGAAAAATTGTGCTCTATATGTGTAATAAGAATTGTAATGCATTCTGCTGTCATATATCAATTTTTAAAAAATTTTTAAAAAGAAATACATTTGTTCTGCTCTGTATGGACCCAGAAAAAGCCCTGGTCTCTTGTGAAGGCCAGAGAAGGAAAAAATTAGTGCCTGGTACTTTTGAGTCTGTATTCATCATCTAATTTAAACACACACACACACACACACACACACACACACACACACACACACACTACATCCTTCCCCAAATATACAACAGTACTACTCACTTTAAAGATTCTTCTTAAATCCCATTAGTGGTTGTTCTTCCTGGGATTAGAAGAATTTGGTATTTTTCCCTAGGCTCCACGTTCTTGTATATTTACTTTCCCTTCCAGGTTACCCTGACATTCTTATTCATGAAACACTTATTTCCTCTCAAACCAAGTATTTTGTTTTGTTGTAAAGCATTTGCTATAAGTAAATCCTCCTTTAAATGGTACTGTCAGGCTGAGGATATGGCTCAGTGGTAGAGCACCTGGCTAGCAGGCAGGAGGCCCTGTTTGTCCCCAGCAAAACACACACACACACACACACACACACACAGGGTGGGGGAGAAAGGGTCCTGTCATTATCTGAACAGAGATGGAGAGAAGATATCTAAGCCTGAATTTGCTTTTAATAGCCACATCTACAGGATCTAAAGAAATGAGAGTAGTGTTCTTATGAAGTGAGGCAAAATGCCAACTGATTCATTGTTACCAGAAGACAATGAAGTGCATGAGAAAAGAAGGGAAGGAGGGGGTTAGAGGAGATATTTTTCCCTTTTTGGCTCTTAGCTAGCCCACATTTCGTGGATAAATTCTTCAATCTTGTCAAACCTCAATTTCCTCATCTGTGAAAGGGGAAAATAATGCTGATCATATGTAACTTACAAGTTTGTGGATTGATTCCAGAACACTATATGGCGTTTATATTTTAGAAATAGTAATTTAATTTTGCCTCCTAAATGATACAGATTGGGTAAATCTCTCACTCTGGCACTCATCTTTGCCTTATATAATGTTTTCTCAATAACACTGTTGTTGTTTGTATTCAAGCCTATTGCCACATTCATAGGATCATAGAACTTAGACCCAAAAGGATCTTTAGGATTAAAAGTAACCCAAGCTCACCCCACTGTCGTCTATATACTTGTTATTCGTCATTGGAACCCGACCAGCCACAGTCACTCTTTTCCAGTCTTCCTGGGCTCACATGCGTAAAGATACAACCAGAAGCCAAAGGAAAATCGAAAGCCGAGGTCGCCTCCAGCACGGCTGCTGTATTTGATAAGTGTAYTTAGTATGACAGTGTTGTCACACAATTCATTAGTAAAATCTCATATTCCAAACATCAAGAGATTCCTTTCCCTCCAGCGGTTCGGAGCGATAAAATGGCATTTGCGGTGAACTTTTCCATGTAGGTGGGACTCAATACCATTAATCAAACGATTGAAAACAGAAAAACCGGGGTGGGGAGAAGAAATCTGTTAACGAAAGGTCTCTAGCCCAGTTCACTTCTACGGGGAATAGGAAATKGCCTAGGGCGGAGGGGAGAAGGCGTGCGCGTTGGAGGACAAGAGAACAAACGGTTCCCGGAAACGCGTGGTCGTTCCCAGTTTCGCCCGGCGAGCCCTTTATTATCGAAAGAGACTGCAAACCCAGTAACAGGATAGGAGACCTTGCAGGGGGAAAAGAGGAATAACGCCCAAGGCGATCAGATCTTCACCCCACCTCAATAGTCCCCAAACAGGTGCACGCCCAGAACCCCTTTAACCTCAGTCATAAATCTATTAACATATAACTAAGGCCATTGTCCTTAACCTTCCTAAAATTCTGCATAACCCAAAATGCACTGAGAATGAGCATTTCCACACACAACCCGAGGACACTCACTTTTAAAATATCAGTAGCCCGTGGGGTATGGAAGAGTTGCAGGACAGAAGCGCAACAAGTTCGGGAAGCAGAAATTGCTGCACGAATTTTTCTCTGCCCAAGTTTCTCGCGGCGCGCAAGCGCGGCTCTATATGGGGCAGGGAGAGCTTAAAAAGCATCCACGCCCGGGAACCACAAGCTCAAGAAGAGTGCCAGGACGCAGATCCGCTAGCTCTTGGCGAGAACTGGGACCGGAGAGGATGGAAGCGCCGTCCAAGAAGGAGGGAGTCACTTAGGTATTTGAATTAGAGACGAGCTGTGAGGGGTAGGATGTGAGCGGAAGGTTAGTGAGGAAMAGCCCGCGAGTCTGTCCTGGCACTGAACCTTTTAAGGATCAGGTTGTGATTCTGCCTGAATCCCTGCGGAGCAGAAGGCCCCAGACACCTGGTCCCTTACCGCTGCCAGCTGAATTGCTTAAGGAAGGGCAAAGAGTCCCGGTGGGGAGACCACGAAACCCGGAAACAGATCTGGGGGCAGATGGCTAAGAAATGAGAGAGAAGGGGTTGTGCGTTTGCGGCGGAGAAAAACCTTCCCCCATCGAATTAGAGAGCCGAAAGCCCAAGTTCAGAGAGACGGCCACGCTGTGGGGGGATCCCCGCAGCTGAAGACGTGGGGCGCGGGAATGAACCAACCCAGGCGCTCACTCGCTCGCGGCAATTTACAGGGCTGGGGCGGGGAGGGGCGTGAGGTCCAGTCCCGGGCCACGCTGGCTCCGCACCCGCTGAGGGGTTGACAGGTGGGTTTTGTTGGTCTTCCAGGAGCTGATCTCCACCGCCCGCTGCAAGATCGGAGTCCCAGCCTTCCGGTTCGCGAGAAAAGAGCGTCTGGCGGGGCCGTGTCCTCTCCCGCCTCCCCTTCCCAGCTTGACGATTCAGAGCACTTGCGGCCCGGAATTGAGCTCCCCCTCGTCCCCAATGTCCACCTCGTCCTCTGGCTCGGTCAGCACGAAAGGGCCGGCGGGCAGGCTCAGCCGAGCGTCGGCGGCTGCAGCYTCTGGACCATGGGGACTACCCTCAGGGCTCTCAGGCCCGTCTGGAGCTTTGGGCTCGTCTTGACTTTTCCTCAGCTGCTTTTTATGCTTCATCCGCCGATTCTGGAACCACGTTTTCACCTGATTTCGGAGCGACAGAAACAAAATCGTGTCATTCTTCCAAACCCATACTAATCTGAGCGACTGCTGGGGGTTTAGGAAAACGGACAGCAATCCATTGACGAATTACCAAGAACTGTGGCCGCCTCACTAGGGTTAACTACTAAATAAAGTGCTCACAAATTATGGTTTTAGGTTGAATGAGAATCAAACATCCTATGGCTCCCAGAACTTATTGTCCGAAAATAATGATGAGGATTAAAATGTTGTGGTTAGTGATTATCAATACTGTTATTAATCAGAATTACTAATAGTAAGTGCTGTGTAGACGATTCTCTTTTAAATTCAATTTGTGTTCCTTTGATTGAGATATCTAAATACCTGGTCCAGCACAACACCTGGACAGAAAGATGAGAACTGAACTTGCTAGTTTTCATCGGAAAGAAATCATACCCAGACCTGACAGATCTAATGATTTCACAGCAAGTTCCATTTCCGGATGCATATGAGAGAGGAGGACTAGAGGAAAGAGTTTGGGGCCTGCAGGTGAAAATCCCCTGGAGCTAAATGAAAACAATTATTCCACCCAGGACGAGGGAATAGAAAGAAAGGGCTTAAACTACAGTGTGTTGGGGCTTGGGTGGGGCTGCGTGTGAAGACTGGCTGCTGCGATACAGATAGAAATAAGAAGGGGGGGGGGAATCTCCTTGTATGAGTTTCTCCAGACAAGAAACTACCTAGTTTATCACCCGAGGAGATTTTTCTTCACGTAGAGACGCACTGGAGTAACTTTGTTTCGGAAAGTCTAGAGTGAAGTTGGGGTATCTGTGCTTTTAGTAATGATCTTGGAAAAATGAAAGCCTAGAAAAATGGGGAACGGGCTCATTATCACTCGAAGAGTTCCTCAATGGGTCCTGAAGAGTTAAGAGTTAAGGGGAGAGAGTAGTGAAGCAGAGATCAAGGACTCCCCTTCCTCCGGCCCACCTGCGTCTCCGATAGGCTGAGGGCGGTGGCCAGTTCCACCCGCTCTGGCGTGGACAGGTAGCGCTGGATCTCGAACCTCTTCTCCAAACCCGAGAGCTGTGAGTCAGAAAAAACTGTACGAGCTTTGCGGCGGCGGCAGTGTTTCCCAGGCAGCTCGGCGTGCTGGGGGTGCGGGAACAGCGCGGGAACTGGCACCCCTGCAGAGAGAAGAACAGCCAGGTAGCCAAGACCAGATCACGGGGAAGCAACCTCCGTTCTCCTCCACTCCCCACCTCTAGTGTCCAGCGCTTCCCTTGGCCTCTGGCCTCCACCAGTCCAGTCTCCTGCTTGTCCCAAAGCTCCTGGCGCCCTCTTCACAAGAATTCAAGGTGGGGGTGGGAGTGGGGAAGTACAAAATAGCGCTTAGAGATCTTTTTCTAAAAGGCCATCTAGAAATACAAATAATAAACAGCAACTAAAATGGAAAATAAAACTACAAAACCGATCTGGAAATCTTTTTTAAATGTCTCTTTGAAGTGAGACTTCTGTCGGGTCTATCTGCACCTAGTGGTCGGTTGCACCTGAAAAAGTTTTCTTGAAAACATCAGATGGTTCTGAGAGATGTCCACTTGTACCCACCCAAATCACTGATGACACTTAGTGCTGTGTAAAGAAGCTAGTATGAAGAGGAAAGGTATGATTTTGCCTCCTGAATTCAGTAAATTAAAAAAAAAAATCTCTTTCCCAAGTGCCCCCACCCTCCTGCAACCAAAGAGAGGAAAACTCTTATCCAGAGAAGCTCAGAAACCCTCCTTTCACATTTCCTTGTCAGTTTCCTGGTTGCAACCGTCCTCTCTAATCTGGTCCTTGTTCTTTCTTTCTGACTCCAAAGTAAGCAAAGGGGAAGGACAGAGCACTTTTCCTTGCTCGCTCAGGGGAGACTTCTCCTGTCTTTTCTGACCCTCCCAGGCCTTACAGTTCGAGAAATGAACCAAGCAGACAGAAGCTGCTGCAGACACCAAATAGCTGCCAATCCAGAAGGGGTGGAGGAACTAACACACAAAGCAAACAGGTCCAGTACCACAGGCATTGGCCATTGCTACATGGGGGCAACAACAGCATAGCTGAGAGGAGACTGTTGCCACTCAGATGGCGAAACAAATAGAGGATGTGGACCTCAAGATGAATTTTAGATTCTTCTCTCCAATACAGTGTCTGAGATTCAGCTTCACACTTTTCCCTTTTGTCCTGGATACTAGTGCCCACATTTCACAGATTGTCTCCTGTCTTTTCCCAGCTCTTGCCCTGACTAGGTTGTTTCCACTGCTGTACTCAGCATCTGGACTAAACAAATTATTCTGGCTGGAATGAAAATTCTAGAGAAGAAAACCTTGGATGTGTCCTTTCAGAGAAAGACAGGGTGCAGCGGTAGATATTTCCCCAAATCTTCTTGTGCCAACCACATTTTGCTAATCCCTACCCTTACCAAGTTGCAGAAATCAAAATACTTCAGCACCCGGCTCCAACGACTCTGGCATCTGAGGCAGGGGAGGACTGCCTAGCTTAAGATCCTAAATTAAATGCTAAAACATTAAGAGTGAAGAGAGTTAAGGAAATTCATGTCTCTTCCTTTGTTTCTTATCCTTTCTGCCCTTATTCTGGACAGTGCAATGCCTTTTCCCTCAGACTATCCCAACCCTCATTCACTTCTATACCCTCTGCAGGGTCTGCCAGTGTTCCGCGCCTGGAAGAAGAAAGCTGGCCAAGTGGAAAGTTTCCGGCTTCGGAGCTGGAAAGTTGAGTTTAGTTCCATGGGAGGGGACTGACAAGGGTCTCCTGGAGTCAGGAGAGGTGAAGAATTGGAATAGAGACATGGGCCAAAGTAGCCAGGAAGATCACCAGTGGAACTGAGCACTGCCCTCCAGTAATACGTCAAACTCATTCACCTCTAGCTGCCTCTTGGCCAGATGTATCTCCATTTTAAAAAGTGCAGAGAGACCACAAATTATCCCCATGGGTTGGTATGCTTCAAGGGAGCTCTGCGTGCTCTCAGCCAAGTCCCCAACCCTCTATTGTTACTGATCTGGGAGGTAGGGGGGTGGACCAAGCCAGGCCAACCCAGAGCTGGCCTTTGCTTAGCTCTATCACAGGCTTAGGGACTGTGCTAGAAGGCCTGCTCTCTTGCTCCCCGCACATTAAGGCCCCTGCTACTTACCCGAGGTGGTAAGGAAATAAGGATGGTGGTGGTCTCCCTTATGCAGAGGGTGATGGGCGTGAGGAGCCAGGAGGGTAGGTGTGGGCATGAGGGGGTAGCCATAGTCTAGTAGAGGCACCCGGGAAGCCAAAGAGCTGGCAAAATGGTCAGGGGCCACCTCCCTCAGYGGCTTGGGCTTGTGCAGCAGGATGTCCTCTATGAAGAAGGATGTGGGCCTCTGAGAAGACGCCGGGTGTAGAGGAGAGGTGAAGTTGAGATTCATCTTGAGCGCGGAGCGCCTGCCACAGGGCGAAGGCCGGGAATAAAGTGTGTGAAGCAGGCAGCGTCTCAGCAAGCCTGGTGGAGATCCGACAACCCTTCTCCGAGACTCAGATCTCCACTGCTCTCTCCTCGGCCTGGACTATCCCGGGCACTGGAAAGGCGAGAASACAAGATCCTGGGTAGGTTGGGTCTATGTGCTGGAGAATTGGCAGCTTCGAGAGGGGAGCCGGGAGAGCCAATGGCAAGGCTGCCGGAGGCAGAGGGGAGGGTGAGGTGGGCTTGGGGCGGGGCGGGGATCTGTCCGCGGTGCTGAATACGCCTGGCCGAGCCTGGCGAGAGAGGAGCCTTCTGGGTTCGGGTTCCTAGGAGGCTTCTGGACCTCAATTTCTGCCCCAGCCCCCCGTGCACATACATCGCAAGAGCTGCTTTGTTCCCAGTCGTCTTTTAGAGAAAAACTAAAAGAAAAAAGTCTCTGTTGTCCAACAAACTCCTCCCACCTTAGAGAAGAGACATTAAAAGAACCCCATAGCAATAAAGCACTTATTCAAGGCATTTGGGCCTAGAGTTTTAAGAGATTCAATAATAGACGGCAAAAGGAAAAGGGGAGAAGTAAAGAGAAAATTGTCCACTATTTTAAGTAGCTAGATTCATCTCAAATTGATAGGAGAGATGACTGGATTATTGAGATAAGTAAAAATGATCTTAACATTCTTGACCTCACTTATAGGGAGTGGGTGAGAGAAAAATCTATGTCTAGATTATTCAAGTGATTTGGTCAGTTTAAAAATGTCCAAAGCTACCCTTTAATGCCATCCTCCCTGAAATTTCCATTACTTCCTCCTCATTTCACTCATACGGTTTGCTACTTCTGCTATTACAGTCCTTTCAACCCTAGTCCCCCAAATAATTAAACARGTTTTTTTCCCCTCTTGTTCCTTTCCCCTCCTTCCCAATCTTTTTCCCCCTGTCTTTTTCCAATCTGTCACATTTATTTCCCAGAAGTCAATTTGCCAAAATTAAGGTGATCATCCACAACACAGCAGGGATAATTTTGGCTCGCATCTCCAAAAATTGCTCTAATTATTGATGTTAAACTCAGGGAAATTAAAAGAAGGCACTTCTCTTCCATCTCCCCATTTTTAAGCTCTAATTTATTGAAATCTAGTCATCATCACAATTCCAATCACTACTGCTAATAGCAAAAGTGTTTTAATAGAGACTGAGTCCTCACAACCCATGCTATTAGATAATTAGAGGAGGCGTTAGAAAGCCAAGTGCTAATCCTTAGGTGCATGGATAGGATTTCCATCTGATCTAGCAGGTAGAACAAATTAATTACCAGAATCAATTAGGCCCCAAACTACAGTGCTCCAGGAAGTGGAAGCATCCTATTCCATACAGATGAACTGGTAAATGGTAAATAGATAAGGAGGGTACAAGGAAGGAAGAAGCACGGTGGGGGAGACTTTAAAATAAGATCTTGACAAGAGGCATCTAAATGAATACAGAACACTGTCCTGGAGTCTGAAATGTGTGGGGTTTTGTTGTTGATTGGTTTCATTTTTTTAAAGTTTATAATGGTAAGAACTGAGGAAAGGAGAGCAGGTGACCATGGAAAGTAAGTCAGCTSACTTTTCAAAAAGTTGTTCTCTAGCCATTATTGCTGGTCCAGTCATCCTTTACTGGGCTGGAGGGAGACTAAGAAGGTGGAAACTGGTAAAAAGACCACCACCATCCAAAGCAGCTGATGAGATCCGTTTCTAGCAAGGGTATGTCTCCCCATACGCTAACGGCTGAGTAGCTTTTGAGGGCCAAACTTTGGCCTGCGCCTGCACCCTTTACTTGTTTCCCTACACAGAAAGCTCAGGTTTGCAACTAGCCTGGGGGCGGGATTACGGTTTTTTTCAGGGCGGAGTCTAACTTCTGCTACAGAAGCAGACGAAAGATTACAGACTGTCCCTTTGGGGGCAGGAGCAGTATAAACGTCTTTGGGTGCCTGTCTTCACGCCAAGTCACTGCAAATCCCCCTTACACATCTGCCATCCCAGTGTTCAAAACATCGCAGGAGGGACAGGAAGAGGCGGACTGCCTCCACGGCCTCCATTCTCCCTTTATTTTGTATCTCTAAACTCAGCACTCCGCTCTTCCCTCAAAGCTAAGGCTATAGTCCCAGGCCCTGCTCCCTGGCTGCGAAGCCCAAAGCGGTGGCAAAAGGGGAGGCATCCTGGGTTCCCCCTTCTCTAGTGTTCCCTTGCTGGAGCTAGCCTATCCGAGGGCCGAGCTGCCGAGGGAAAAGGACTTGAGGTTTTCCCCCAGCAACGCAGCTGCCCCACGTTTGCCTAAGCCCCCAGTAGGAACCTAAGAAGTGAGAAACAGGGAGGAAACTGGTTCGCTACAGAAAGAGGCAGGACCTCGCGATCGCCGGCGTTTTCTTTCCCTTTTCCCTTTCAGCAACGCTGGGGAACAAAGCTGCGAGCCGGAGAGAGCACCACCACCGCTGCCAGGACCCAAGCAGACCCCTGCGGGGCTCGGAGGCGGAGCCCGCAACCGTAGTGCAGGCGCCGGTGGGGATTCTACCGTGGTCTCTTTATTCCTGAGCGAGAGAGACCGCTTTTGCCCATGGTGCCCTGCTAACACAGCCGGCACTTGGAGCTTGAGCGGTGCGCGCCAATGGGCGGGTATACAGAAGGTTCGTCCTCAAGATTCTAGTCCCGTCCTGACYTCACGTTCCTTTTAGAGCCAGATCCAGGGAAATTGCATGGCGGGTTCGAAACGGCAGAAACTTTCTCCGCAGTGGCGGGGCTCCAGGTCAGAACTGCCAGGTGGGGGGGCGGGGGTGTAAATGCTAGAGTTATTAAAACCAGCCCAGACTTCAGCGCACAGCTCTGGCCTGGCCTGTCCTCCTCCCGCCAAGAGGAGAAGGCGGGCGCCGGGGTCTCCAGCCCCTCTTTTTTATTCCTACGGTAGGAGGGAGAAGTCTTGCAAAGCCAGCGATTGATGTTTGGCAGCATCGCCCCCGCCCCCTCGCTCCGTGCTCTCGCCACCCCCAACCCGCGTAGGCCCCGGGACAGCTCGAGTATGGRGGATTCAGTGTTATATTTTAGATTGTCTGCAGCAGAAAAATGGAGCAGAGAAGCTATTTCCCCTTTAAAAACAGAGATGTTTCATTGCCTGGTTTGTCTCTGAAGTCTAGGCCATTGCTGGCCACTAAAGATAATATGAYCCATATAGGTTATTTTAAATTTTCTGCTTATCAAATTTAAAAAGCAGTATGTCATATTTTAAAAGGCGAAAGAAACAGATGAGACATTAATGCATTTCATTTAATCCCGATATACAAAAATATTATTATTCAACATGTAATCAATATAAATATTATTAGCATTCCTTTTTTCATATTAAATTCTCAAAATTCCAGTGTATATACTCTATTCACACTAGCCAYATTTCCAGTGCTCAATAGCCACAGCGTGCTCATGGCTACTGTACTGTACAGCACATGTGTAGTTAATTGCGATAGTCTCTGTTACTCCTTTCAAATGTAGACGGACACACAGAGAAATGGAAAGCAGCTGCTGAAACCAGTCTAGCACATTCTCAATCTTACCCTCATCCATCCATTTTATTCGACTGCTCTGAGCATTCATTGAGCACCTACTGTATGTGATGCTCCTTGCCACATATCTTCCYAAGCTTTCTTCAAGACTCGGGAGGTTAGATAGACGCACCCACATTGCATTTTTCAAAATTTTCATTTGACAAAAATCAYCCAAGACCAGCAGGCTCTAGTCATCTTTAAGGCGGACACATGCAGCCAGATACTGCACACTGCCCAGAGTAAAATAAATAAATAAATAAAAATAAAGATCAAATGAATTTCCTCCCCTCCCCACCTGAAAGATCTGATGGCACTCATGCTTATGGTTTCAGCTGAAGAATTATCAATTTAAAGAGAAAAAAGACATGCTTTTCAGGGAACTAATAATTAAACAGTCCCTTTTTCTTTCATGTCAGTCTCAGCTAAAACTGTCATCTAAGCTGGGACTTAGTTTCCCAAAAAGATAACCTTATTGATGATCAAAGGAAGAGACTGGTTCCATTAGCCAAGTTGCCTATACCATGGCCTTCAAAATAAAGGGGGAAGTGTATTTTAGAAGGATCTGAGTAACACACTTTACTCATAACATTTTGTATTATATTGCTTGTTGTCTGTTTCAACTTGCCTTCTATCTGAGTACTTTATTTTAAGCACTACCAAAGTGGATGACATGTCTACAAAAAGAACAGGAGTTGCTGACTGCTTCTAGCAAATGCATCTTCAAAAATAATGCTTTTGCACTGGAAATTAGGATATGAGCCCACAGGAGAACACATTCAAGGCTTGATATTCAAACCATAGTGTTACTAATGTAAAAAGGAGTAAATCCACCCAATTTTCTCATGCAGGACTGGGTCAATGTGTACAACTAAAAACTTTCATTTCATTTCTCTCTTGATGTTCTATATGCTGCCTTTGTCATCTCAATTCAAAACATGCTTCATAAAGTGATAGAAAAGACAACGTAGAATAGAAAATTAAAAGTTTAAAATATGGAAGATCCTGTCTGAAAGATATATGATAGAATGACAATGATCTTTGTTGGGTCTTTTATTAGCATTAAACTATTTTCCCCATAGGTTTCTAAAAGAGTAGCCAGATATTTTACTAGGAAAAATAAGTAAATAAGCTAACAGAATGCCTTTTAAATGTCCTTTTCTTCCACTCTAAACCATCTAAATTCTGTGATTAGACTTGACATAATAAACTTCAAATAATAATACCAAACTAATATGCATAGTTTTGAAAATAAAAGGGTTTGAATTGCCCCTTAATTTTTATTTCYATATGTTTATTTATGTTTATGCTATATACTTATATATGTTTATTATTATATACTGTGAGTTTCTAGTGCTAGAGACTTACAATCTCTATTACGGAATACAAAGGTGAACTTCTAKGCA